TAATTTTTATTAATACGGAGGAGATGGATTGTTTAAGTTTAGAGTTTGGAGTTAGAGATATTAATATTTGTTTACTTGTATTTGAATATTAGCCTAGGTTTGGTTTGGGAAGTCCGGGGGGCGGGGGGATGGGATATAACATTGTGTAATATCTGTGATGTATTTCTTTTTTTTATGATGAAAACAATAAAATTTTATAAAAAAAAAAAAAAAAGAAACCTTGCCACTGACTCGGCTATTACGGTTGGAGACAGAAGTCTAGATCATCCATCCAAGGGGGAAGGAATTGATGTTAATACCTTCATCTCAAAGAACAAGATTTGGTTAACTGCTGTAATGCTGTCGGAGAAGATAGCAATAGCACTTAGACTTATATACCACTTCACAGTGCTTTACAGCCCTCTCTAAGCGGTTTACAGAGTCAGCATATTCCCCCCAACAATCTGGGTCCTCATTTTACCGTCCTCGGAAGGATGGAAGGCTGAGTCAACCTTGAGCCGGTGAGACTCGAACTGCTGGCTGCAGGCAGTCAGCAGAAGTAGCCTGCAGTACTGCATTCTAACCATTGGTCTTGATGATTAGGTGGGATGGCATGCTCTGTTTTTCACTGCTGTCCTCTGCCAGGGGTCCCCCAAGGCCCGGGCCGCGAACCACACTGGTCTGCAGCATACCAGAAACTGGGTCGTTTAAACAAGCAAAGCCCATCCGCACATGCATGGGATGCAAGCAGCGCACCAAACTATGCCCCCCCCTCCAGTCTGCAGAAAAACTCCACAGAACCAGTCCCTTGTGCCCAAAAGGTTTGGGGCCACTGCTCTATGCAGCACTTGAATTGTATTTTGTGATGCAGAATTTTTGGACTTGGACTTAGCACTCTCACAAGTGTTGCCAAGCTTTCTCATCCGTCAGAGCTGTTAGGCATTTAAGAGTAGTGGGATTGAGATTGACTTTGTGTGTCTCACAACTATGAGAAGGGTGGAGGGTGTAAGCCATTCCAGATCCACTTTATCTGTTCTGTGGAGAAAGAAATCTGAAGGTCACCATAACAGACACCAAAGCTGTGCTTCTATGGTCCTTGAAATCAGACTAACTGCTTTATTCTTTCCTTATAGAGGGGGGATGGGGAACTATGGCTCCTTTATGACTAGTTTAACGAAGAGAAGGATGAGGGGGGGACATGATAGCAGTGTTCCAATATCTCAGGGGCTACCACAAAGAAGAGGGAGTCAAGCTATTCTCCAAAGCGCCTGAAGGCAGGACAAGCAGCAACGGATGGAAACTAACCAAGGAGAGAAGCAACCTAGAACTAAGGAGAAACTTCCTGACAGTTAGAACAATTAACCAGTGGAACAACCTGCCTCCAGAAGCGGTGAATGCTCCAACACTGGAAGTTTTTAAGAACAAACTGGACAGCCATTTGTCCAAAATGGTACAGGGTTTCCTGCCTGAGCAGGGGGTTGGACTAGATGACCTCCAAGGTCCCTTCCAACTTTATCATCATCATCATCATCATCATCATCATCATCATCATTATTATTATTATTATTACTTGTCATAAAAGGACCATAGTTCCCCATCTTTTTTATCGAGGGAGAAAGAAGGAGATGAGGGACATTCAGGATTTATCTTGGTGGGATTAGCAAAATCTAATTTACTATGCTGTAGTCTGACTACAACCCTGAGTGGCTTATAAGACAATAAAACATTAAAAAAAATCTAAATCTAAACAGTCTTAATAAAATTGTGAACATCGTCTCCTAACATTTTTCTGTCTATTTTTCAGCGGTCAAACCTAAGTGCCAAAAATTCAATGTAGTAGCTGTTGCTGTAATTGCAGCTTTGATCATTGTTACAATTTCATTGGTGGGTAAGTAAGGAGACATTTCTGTTTAACTTTCTCCTTAGTTTTGTTGCTGCTGTTGTTGCTGCTGTTGTTATCATTTAAAAAAAGATCACATGCATGAATCTAAACCACAGAACAATTTAGAAGGAAAGAGCAGCAACTGGGGGTGAGGTATGTCAAAGGAGTCAAGATGAGGATTGCTGCAGTGCAGTTGAAAATTAGACTTTGTACATGTGTCAAATGTTGCCTGCGTATCCAAAAGGCAGGAATTTAAATTGCACTGCTGTGATTGCCATCTAGACTTTTTTTTTTTTGACACTCTCACAAATGTCCCAGGAAGGGAAGATTGTTATATGTGACAAGCCAAAGCAGATACAGAGTGAATAGAGGAAAGGAAAGACTGCCCAATCCAACATAAACAAATTTGCATTTGATTTGTTTTATCACACACACTCAGGTAATCCATTCTTAGTGTAGCTTTTTTGAGAAGTTCTTTCATGTTGCCTTTGTGTTAATCTTAACTCTAGCAACTGCCAGGACAAGCCTCTGCAGTTTGTGTGGCAAGATTTTGGAAGTAGCTTGCCCCTGTCTCCAACTCCTTCCCTGGGCTAAGAGAAAGTGACTGGCCCAAAGTCACCCAGCTGGCATTGTGCCTAAGGCAGGACTAGAACTCCCGGTCTCCCATTTTTTATCCTGATGTCTTAATCACTACACCAAATTTGGTCTCTTCCTATGATAGCTAATCTACTTTTATGTTTCTCCTTACGTGCTGAATTCTCACTTCCATATTTAGTTATTTATTTTGTTTTAAGCAGCGCTACCCAGACCTGGGTAAATTACCCAAAATTGGGTGAAAGTTGTTTTTCCTTTGGGTAATGACATAAGAGCCTATTACCCTATCCCAGTGATGGCAAACCTTTTAGAGACCGAGTGCCCAAATTGCAACCCAAAACCCACGTATGCATCGTCGGGTGCTGGGTGGGTGTGGCCCATTGGGTGGGTGTGGCCCATTGGGTGGGTGTGGCCCATTGGGTGGGCGTGGCTGTGGTGGTAACGGCAGACTGGGTGGGACTAAAAAGTTCAATCAATTCCAACTTTGCAAAGCAAGACCACCCTTTTTGCATTCTGAATGAAGCTGAATAAATACTGAGCAAAAATGGAACATGGCTGAGGGTAGTAGAATTGTAACCTGAGGATTTAAAACCTGATTGTTTTTCTGCTCCAAAATGGCGTGGATTCCTTTTACTCAAGATTAAGGCTGAGTGATGGTCTCCCCATCAAAGTTTCCATTTAGATTTAAGCGTTTCATATGAAGAGGAGGGGTTCACCTTCCAAATTTTCAATGGTATCGGGTGTATATATTTTATTTTTAAATTTATTTTTAAGCAGAATGTGGGATCATTTTGACTACATTTTAACTAGGAAAGCTATTATTTGATTCAGTTGAAAATACGGCAAGGGCTTGGTTCTAATTTCATCCAGTTTCTTTTCTTGATTTAATTGCAGCAAGATAGATTGGAAAGACTTCGGGATTAAGGCTTAAATTTGATCCCGATTCCCATGAGAACCCCAATCCTTTGTGAGTACAGTAATTTAGGAATGGCAGATGGAAGCCTTTTCGGGTAGAACCTAGGCAGTAAAAAGAATTAATATTTAAGTCAAACTGGTCATTAAAAATCCTTTTGAAGTTTTGCGAGGCTTCAGAAAGAATGTAGATTGCCTAAAAATCGTCAGTCGCAATATGTCCAATTAACTCATTGTTGATATTCCAATGCAGCTAGCTGCATTGCCAATGGCTGAAATTACTGACTGTGTTAAGAAAGGTCTTGCTGGTGTTTAAATGTATAGGGAAGGGTCATGAAATTCAATGGTGAAAAAAGTAAGGTTCTACATTTAGGCAAGAAAAACCAAATATACAGGTATATAGTATAGGGCAGTGATGGCGAACCTTTTAGAGATTGAGTGCCCAAACTTCAACCCAAAACCCACTTATGCATCGTCGAGTGCCGGGTGGGTGTGGCCCATTGGGTGGGCGTGGCCCATTGGGTGGACGTGGCTGTGGTGGTAACAGCAGACTGGGTGGGACTAAAAAGTTCAATCAATCAATTCCAACTTTGTAAGATCTTTTTTTTTCCCGGGAGAAGTTGAAATTGACTGATTGAACCTTTTTTTTTTTTTNTTTATCAAGGTACACAAATTCATCTACTAGTTCTAGTTTGGGGCAGTTTCTGACAAGCAAAGTCAATGGGGAAGCCATTAGGAAGTCGCAAGTTGCAGTCATGTAATGTTGCTTGTGGTGATGTCTTTAAGTGCAGCTGAAACTGACAAACTAACTGCCTTTATAACTTGGGCAGTCATGTGATTTTTCACTTTACAAGCCTATTCTTAGTGATGGAATTGCTAGGCCTAAATGTGGTCGGTAATTGAGAACTGTTTGTAGGAGATGACCAGGCTGACTCTGAGGGAGGGGTCAAGCACATCATCAGTCTCAAGTCCCTTTGCACCCACAAGAGATTTAAATCCACCCCACCTTGAATTCCATTGACTCTGATCTACTGCTAATTTGCTTTTACTGTTGGTAGTAAAAGCAAATTAGCAGTAGCAGTAGCAGTAGCAAATGAATAGCAGTAGCAGTAGCAGTAGCAAATGAATACAAGTTTATTTCATGTAAATCCTCTTGATTGCATGTAGATTGCATGTAGATTCCCTGTAGGGAATCTACATGCAATCTACATGCAATAAAGAGGATTTACATGAAATAAACTTGTATTCATTTGAATCACCTTGGCTTCTGATATTCTGCACTTAACACTAGCTGTATTTACAGGTTAACTCACTTGGTTTCCTTAAATCCTGGAATTGCAGTTTAAATGAGGTAGATTAATATTAACTACTCAAACTATGTTGTCAGAATTGTAGTTAATTGTGAGCTCTATGATTTGTCCATTTTGGTTTTCTTTTTTCCAGTTTATAGAACAAAGACGTGTCTGCCTTGCCTTTCCATTGTAAGTGCTGCCTGCCCTGATTTCTGGATTGGATATAGAGGAAAATGTTTCTACATATCAAAAGAAGAAAAGAATTGGACTCTCAGTTTAAATACCTGTTCTTCATTTAATGCATCCTTGGCTGTGATTGATACACAGAAGGAATTGGTAAGGAATAATTAGACATCATTCTTAATTCGATAATTGTCCTTGCATTCACGCATATAAAAAGCAGTCCTATTGTATTTATTGTTACTATCAGTATATTACTAAAATTCTCATTCTGTTTGTCTGTGTATGCCCTCAAGGTATCCAAATGATATATTACATTGCAACAGTTTCAGCTAACTTAAAGAATGGGTTAAAAAATCCGGAAGCCATTGATCATGATGTTGTTATTCATTCAATCCTGTTTGACTCTTGGCAGTTCTGTGGGCCAGGTCCCCACGTCTTCCAATCTTGCTTTACTTCTTTGATTTTTTTTCTATGTTCTAGCTCAGACATGTCAAACACAAGGCCCAGGGGCCGGATGCGGCCTGCGACGTGGTTTCATGTGGCCCGCGAAGCCATCCTGGAAACAGTGAGGGAACGGCCCCCGCTGCCCTGGCCCAGGCCAGCCAGGAGCCAATGTACAATTTTGTGGTGGCCATCTACGCTGAAACGCATTCAGTCTTAGCTCCACAAGACCGTCTGGAAACAGCAAGGAACCATGCCCCCTGGGTGCATGCTGGGGAGGTGTCACCTTTGTGAGGAATGAAGAAATGCACCATCGCCTGGATGTGGCCAGCAAATGGCCCTCACCTACTTCACATATCCGGCTTGATGGGCTCCAGGGGAGGAGTTTCGGCAGGCAGTGGGGCGCTCTCCTCACAGGCCGAGAGGCTGAGCCAGGCGGTGCGAATCCAAAAAGAAGCGCGCCACCGCTTAGCCTCCAGCCTGCCCAATTTCAGCAGGCAGCAAGGTGCAAAGCTGGCGAGCTTCGCACTGCCCAGCTCAGCCTCTCGGCTCTGTGAGGAGAGCGTCCGACTGCCTGCTGAAACCGGGCAGGCTGGGGGCTGGGGGGCGTCGTGCTTCTTTTTGGATTCACGCTGCCTGGCTCACTCTCTTGGCACTGTGAGGAGAGGGCCTCGCTGCCTGCCGAAACCAGGCAGGCTGGGGGCTGGGCGGCATTGCGCAGGTAACGTCGACTCTCACGTTGCTCATGGCGTCCCCTCCCCCAAAGCCCACCAAGCCAGATATGTGAAGTAGGTGAGGGCCATGTGCTGGCCACTTCCAGGCGATGGTGCATTTCTTCATTCCTCATGAAGGGTGACACCTCCCCAGCTGCGTTTCTTGCCTGTTTTTCTCCCTCATCTCAAATATTTTCCCACCGCTCTGTTCTTAGGAAGGAAGGAAGGAAGGAAGGAAGGAAGGAAGGAAGGAAGGAAGGAAGGAAAGAGGGAGGATCTGAGGGAAGTCCTGCCTTAGTCCTGCCCTGCTGCCCTTTTACCATCCCCTTGCCCCTCCTCCTGGCCTATCCTGGAGGTCTCCCATTCTATTGCTAAGGAAGCTTTCGATACAAAGCTGGGTCTCATCCCATGGAGAGGGAATGGGCCTCCCTCTGACTTTGCCCTCATACCCATCATGAGCAACCTGGCTAAGGAGACCAAGCACAGCAGCAGTAGCCTTGAGGAGGAGATAAGTGCAGCTGGGCATCCCCTTGGAGAAGTGGGGCTGGGCTTGGTGCTGCGGGTGCTTGAGGGCTGGGCTGGGCGTTTGACCTCTGCTACCCAGGACTCCAGGAAGCCCGTGGCACCATCCAGCCCCCCCCCCGCCCACATGGCCTGAGAGAAACAGTGAGGCTCCTCCAGTGGACCATGCCTTGGCGCTTGCCCTGATCCCACCCCTTTCTGCCAGAGACCCTCAGATCTGTCCCACTCCTGCCCAGGCCCCCACAGGCACCCTTGATGCAAACGATGAAGAACTGGCCATGCCCACCCACTTCAGCCACGCCCACCCAGTAGGCCACACCCACTTCAGCCACGCCCACCCAGTACTGCGCCCACCCTGGCCACACCTACCCAGCCCCCTGAGGACAACCACAATGCTGATGCGGCCCTCAATGAAATTGAGTTTGACACCCCTGTTCTAGCTTGTGTCAGCTTTGATGGTGTCCAGGCACATATTCTTGGACAGCCTAATTTCCCCAGTTTCTGGGAAGATATCTCCCCAGAATAACAGACCAGCCCACTCTATCTGAAATAGTCCTGACAAGGTATACATACAGTCATGTGAAAAAATTATTCCACCCTCTTTACCCTCTTTGAGTTCTGTGGTCTTACGTATCCGGACAAAGTAAAAATCATCTGGTCCTTAGCAGTTCTTAAAAGTAGGTGTCAACGCTGCAAATACTGTATATTCTTGCTTTGACAATATGCAGAACTGTCTGGTATTTTTAGAGTTAATGCAGAGCAGAAGAGGGTGGAGGGAAAAGCCCGGGAAAGAGAGAGGAAGGAAACCTTTGACTTTCACACTAATTGGATAACTGATATATGACAGCTAATTTAGGGAGGGAACATGCTGATAATTTAACTGCTCAGAGGAAGAGCATTTAGATCTTAGCATACCTTCGTTATGCCTGTGCCAACATTTTGTAACAATAAATTACTTTTAGGAAAATCAATGCCTGGAAGTTCTTTGAAGTGTTTCATTAGCCGGAACCATAACATCATGTTAAGATCTCAAATCCTTTCCAAACGACCTGGGGTCCGTCCACTGCCTCTAACCTTGAGAGGAGCTGGTAAAGATTCAGGGGAAGAAAATCTATCATAAGAAATGGGAGTTTGCTTGAAGATCCAGCAGCTACTGATAACCCAGAATGGGAAGCAACAGACAGCATGCTGTGGGAAGATGAATTCTGGCAGACCTCCCAGCTGGGAGCAAAGACTTCAAAACAGATTGGTATGGAGCTAACGAATGGCCTGCTACTCAAACTTTGGGTGAGTCACTGGAAAGATTTCAAACCCCAGATGTGAAAAGCAGAAATCAATTCCTGCAGAGAGAACCCTACAGCCCCTCCCTCGTAGATCAGACCCTGGGTTCCCCAACCAGGGACTGCAGTCCTGAAGACAGAATCCCAGACTGAGGCCTCTGCAGCAATGGGCAGATTGGCACCCCCTACAGATAGATGATCAGCAGCAACTGAGCTTGCCACAACTAATAGAGGCCTTGCAACAGCTTGGGATGGTACAGAAACCAGGAGATCAGCAGCTGGTGGGAGACCGACCACAGCAGGGAGATTGGTCACAGCCCCTGAACGTGCAACCCCGGGGCATAAATCTGCAGCCAGGATGGGGCCAGCAGCAACAGCCTGTAATGGCACCACCTTTCAAAGCAACCTTTGATGGGGACCCAGAGAAGCTGATACAATGGAAGGGATACCCGTTGTCTGAAGCCACCTGGGTGAAATCCAGTGAAGTAAAAGCTGACAGATTGGTCAAAAGGTTTCATGTGAAATACCCCAACAAACCGAAAAATAACCCTTAACATATGCTTTTGTTTACTTTACAGGATCTGTCCTTCTTGTAAGGGGGGGGGGCGGATGTCAACGCTGCAAATACTGTATATTCTTGCTTTGACAATATGCAGAACTGTCTGATATTTTTAGAGTTAATGCAGAGCAGAAGAGGGTGGAGGGAAAAGCCCGGGAAAGAGAGAGGAAGGAAACCTTTGACCTTCACACTAATTGGATAACTGATATATGACAGCTAATTTAGGGAGGGAACATGCTGATAATTTAACTGCTCAGAGGAAGAGAATTTAGATCTTAGCATACCTTCGTTATGCCTGTGCCAACATTTTGTAACAATAAATTACTTTTAGGAAAATCAATGCCTGGAAGTTCTTTGAAGTGTTTCATTAGCCGGAACCATAACATCAGGTAAATACAACCTAAGATGAACAACAACACCTGACATATTACACCATGTCATTTACTTTACAAAAAGAAAGCCAAAATGGAGAAGTCATGTGTGAAAAAGTAAGAACACCTTATGATTCAATCATTTGTAGAACCACCTTTAGCAACAATAACTTGAAGTAATCGATTGTATGATTTTATCAGTCTCACATTGTTGTGGCTCACTCTTCTTCACAATGTTGCTTCAGTTCATTGAGATTTGTGGGCATTTATTTATGCACAGATGTCTTGAGCTCCCACGACAGCATTTCAATCGGGTTGAGATCTGGACTTTGACTGGGGCAGGGGTAGGCAACCTCGGCTCTTTTATGGCTGGCTCAGGAATTCTGGGAGTTGAAGTCCACGAGTCATAAAATAGCCAAGGTTGCCTACCCCTGAACTGGGCCATTGCAATACCTTGATTATTTTCTTTTTCAGCCATTCTGTTGTAGATTTATTGGTCTGCTTGGGATCATTGTCATGACCCAATGTCAGCCAAGCTTTATTTATCAGATAGATAATCTCACATTTGACCCTAGAATATTTTGGTATTCAGGGGAGTTCATGGTCGACTCAATACCTGCAAGGTGTCCAGGTCCTGTAGTTGCAAATCAAGCCCAAAGCATCATCCCTCCACCACTGTGCTTGATGATTGGTATATGGTGTTCGTACTGATACGCTGTTTTTGGTGTTCACCAAACTTGACACTGCATTATGGCCAGATATCTCCACTTTGATCTCGTCTGTCCAAAGAACAGGGTTCCAGAAGTCTTATGATTTGTTCAGGTGCAACTTTGCAAACCAAAGTCATGCTGCCATGTCCTTTTTAAAGAGGCTTTCTCCTAGCAACCATTCCAAACAAACCATACTTGTTCAGTTAAGTCTACTGTCATGAACTTTAACATTTAACATGCTAGCTGAGTAACTCTTGGATTTTTTGCAATTTCTCTGAACATTGCACAGTCTCAACTTGGGGTGAATTGGCTAGGACGTCCACTTCTGGGAAGGTTGGCAACTGCCTTGAATGTTTTCCACTTGTGAATAATCTTCCTCACTGTAGAATGATGGACTTTAAATTATTGGGAAATGGCCTTATAACCCTTTCCAAAGTGATGGGCAGCAACAATTGCTTCTCTAAGATCATTGCTGGTGTCTTCACTCTTTGGCATTGTGTTAACACACACCTCAGTGCTGGAGACCTAAAACTTTTATAGAGCTAGTCACAATTGCTGATGATCAATGGATCAAGAGCACTTGATTAACGTTGACACAGTACTTGGCTACTACTTAGCCCCTTCATACCTCTCTAGAAGCAGTAAGGGTATATTTCATTTTTCCCACAGGGCTTCTCCATTTTGATTTTTTTTTTCATAAAATAAATGATGACATGGTATAATATGTCATTTGCTGTTGTTCATCAAAAGTTGTATTTGCGTACTTTTAAGAATTGCTAAGGACCAGCTGATTTTTACTATGTCCTGATATGTAAAACCATACAACTCAAAGAGAGTGTACTTACTTTTTCATATGACTGTATACATCAATTCAATTAATACGTTAACGTTATCTTAATTTTATGTTCTTGTACAAATGAACATAACAGTCTCTTTCTCTAATTAGTGTGCTAAATAAGGATTTTACTGTACTATACATTTTTTTCCCTTTTAGGATTTTTGGGTGGAAATTTTTCATCCCTTTCATTATTGGTTTGGTCTCTCAAGAGAAATTAAGCAGGTCTGGAAATGGTTCAATGGCACAGAGTTTAAAAACCAGTAAGTATGTTATATTTATTTGTTTGTTTGTTTGTTTGTTTATAGGACTTATAGAACTATTTTCTTTTTGAAGCATTTATAAACATTACAGTTCAGCTTGAGCAATTGAAAGAATAACAAGAATTAAGATAATTTTTGGCTAAGCTTCTTTCCCCCCAAAATAAGACACAGAAATGGGAAGAAAAAAAGAGAATTGTTTGGGCGATAGAATGCAACATCTGGTGATCTCCACATTGCTGGCCAGCTTTGATGGCAGAGATGTTCAGGATAGCTGAGATGATACACAGAGCAGATGGGTCTGGTGCCAATTCTGATATTTTGTAAGCAGGGAGGAACAATTCAGTTGGTCCTAAAATTGGAATTTGGGGGGTTTTTTTGGGTTGTTGTTGAAAGGCAGTTTGCTTTTTTCCCTGAAATGCTGGCTGGGGAATTCAGAGAGTTGAAGTCCACATATCATAAAGTTGCCAAGGTTGAGAAACAGTGCTTTATTATCTAGGACTAGGTTATAGTGAAATGGCAAATGTGAGTGTATATATTAAAAATCAAATGTATGTATTAGTGAAGTATCAACCACTCTTAATCTGATTCATATCCTGCTATATTAACAAGGTAATTGTCATGTGTCTGACTAATGAAACACTTCAAAGAACTTTCAGGCATGGTTTAACCTAAAAAAGCCTTTATTAGTGTAGAGACGTGTCAGCATGGCATGATGGATGCCAAGATCTGAATTTCCCTTCCCTTTGCACATAACATTCCAGGCATTTCCCCTCCCCTATTTTGGGGTCATGATTCACATCTTCCAATTAACCTGGAGGGCAAAGATTCACTTCCGTTCCTTTTCCCGGGCTTTCCTTACTAGTCTCCTCCCTTTTCTCTGTCATCTGAATTAACTCTAAAAATACCAGACAGTTCTGCATATTTTGTCAAAGCAAGAATATTCAATATTAGCAGCGTTGACAGTAATAGTGAAATGGTAAACGTACACATGTTAAAAGATCAACTGTGTATATTAGTGATGTATCAACTATCCCTGACCTGATTCATATCCATAATTAAGAATGTTGACTCAACCTTTTTGGAAAGGATGTTTATTTGAAAATCAACCAAATCATCAAATCAGAATGATTTGGCAGTTGGATTGGGAGAAGGGACCTGATTTGGAGATTTGCTCAAACGGCCTTCAAACTGAATGATTTAATCAAATAATAAAAGAGAGAAATCAGTAGTATACAGAGGGATAGTTTCTAGTGTTAAAAATCCACTGTGTGCGTGCATTGCCCACAATTCTACATTTCATATTCTGCAAGCGTGTAAAAGGAACTAAATGGCACCATTCATTTCTGTTCAAGTTATTTGTCATATTTTAAGACTGATTATAATCAAGTCAGGCACTTGAAAGTTTAATGACTTTGAAGCTAGGTATATATCAAACACTTTAGCAAGTCTTCAACATTTGGAATGTGAATTACAAAGTGTGGATCTGAAAATTGAATTTAAAATTTCAGTGTTTCAGTGCAATACCTCAGAGGTGCAAGGAACATGTCCAACTTTCTAGTTGATCACTGAAATTTTGAACCAAAATGTTACTTTTGTGCTTTGTACTTCAAATACCAAATGCTGTAGACTTCCTGAAGTTTTTCACAGATACCTAACAACAAAATCCATATGTGCTTCCTTGATACTAAATAGCTCAGATTATTAAATGGCAAATATATGGATAACCAAGTATCATACCTAAATTTCTATTATTTAGGAAGTGCTCACAACTTACAATATTCAGATTTAAAGTGTTCACTGGATTCTGAAAACAGTTCATGGAAGTTACTTCATTAAGGTTTGGCTAATTGTCTTTTTGGTTCTAGCTACCCATTAATGAATTCAAAACATTCTGGAATCTCTTCTAATAACAGAAAATAGAAATAGTGATCCAGTGCATTTGAAAGTGCAGTGTTGGTGGATGTTCCCTGTTCTCTAAAGATGGGAACGTTCTTGGAAGGATCATTTTTGCAATGCTATTTTCTGCCCAGGCAGATAGTAACTCCTTGTTCTTTTTCAGGTTTGCAGTGCGAGGAGAAGGTTTCTGTGCTTATGTAGACGGAAAAGGAGCCAGTAGTACCATATGCTCCATGGAGAAACATTTTCTCTGCAGCCGGCCAGAAAGTTGTACCAAGCCCGAATAATGCAACCTCATCAAAAAAAAGGGAGCTTCTGGCTTTACCAGAGTTTATTGGAGAAGCACGTGTGTGCGTAGTATCTCCTGCCACACCCAGTTTTGCTAGTTGCCACATAGACTTTAGTTGTAAATCTGAGGATCCATCTTGAAATCGTAGCTTAACAAAGTTGCTCTGTTCCTCCTCTGGGTCTAGTAAAAGTCACCATGGCTGACTTGCCCCAGCCAACTCACCGCAGGAAAATTCAGCACAAGATAACTCAAGAGAGGGACAATTGCCTTGTCTTCCGCTAGGTTTGAATCTTCTCAAGTAAGAAGTCCTTATTATGACCAGGGGCAGGACACGTAAGTAACACCGGCAAATGCAAAGGCTTGAATCCTTTTTATTGAACCAACCTTCCCCCAAATCCCCACAGTTCACTTTAAGCCCAAGAGCAAGGCTCTAACATGCGCGCACGCCTCAAGCAGTTCCTTGAAGCTAGCCGTCCAAGAGAGAGAAGCACAGTTCTGAAAGCAAAAACAGTTCAGGAAACTTAGTCACATGTGTCTCCAGAGAGAGTTCGCTGGGGCCACGGCCCAAGCCAGAGCCGCGCTGGGTCACTGTGAACTCGCACAGGGCAAGGTTAGGCAAGGCAAGGCAAAGCAAGCAGCAAGGCTTCGGTAACAGCAAGGCCTCTTGAATCATGGCAAGTGTTGCTGGCAAATACAACACTTGTTCCTGACAAAAGCCCTTCCCCGTGGCGTCTTCTTAAATCCTATTCTCCAGGTGAGCCTTGTGAAGAGAGGCAGGGCCATCCTCCCAAGTAGTTGGGCCTCTTCTCCATTCTCTGCACTTGGGGATTAGGCGGAGGAGGCAATTGCTCATCTCCAGAGTTCCGTCACTGTTCTGTTCCACGGCCTGCCCTTTCCATCTCCTCCCCCCCTCACTTGGTCATTCTGCGCCCCCTCTTCCTCTCTAGCAACCCTTCTGAGGCCCGAGGGACCCAGGGCTCCTCCGATGGAGCCACGACATTCCTCGAGGTTGGGATGAGCTGCTTTTTTACTGGTCTCTCTCTTGAGTTATCCCGTGTTGAATTGTTCCACAGCAAGCTGTATTGTGGTGAGTTGGCTGCAGTGAGTTGGCTAGGATGAGTTAGCTCCAGTGAGACAGCCATAGCGAGGTGGCTGTGGTGAGTTGTCCTATCCCCATCTATTGACCCTTCTGGACAATTTCATATTTCTCTGATAGGTCCATCCTATATCACTGATTCTCACTGTGTTACATTTGCATCTGTATAAAACCCTTCCTCCATAATCGTCTAAGAAGCTGAGAGTCACATCAAGATGGGCAGCTGACTGGATGGGCCTATTTTGTCCCAGCAAAAAATTGATTCATCTACTGCAACCCAAGATTTAATTTTTGCTTTTCTGGGAAAAGTGCTCACAAGCGCTCTACACTCAGATCTGCTCATAGTTTTGGGAAAAAGAATGTATTCCCTTTTATGTTACACTAATTATTTTGTCTTTGTTATTATTTTTACATTATTTATATATTGGCTCAGCCAATCTCATTGTATACATGTTATACTTTGATAATAAAGGTTCATTCATTCATTCAGTACACTTTTTCACATGTAGCAAATATAAAACTACCGTATATACTCGAGTATAAGCCGAGTTTTTCAGCCCATTTTTGGGGCTGAAAAATGCCCCCCTCGGCTTATACTCGAGTCGGCGGCGGCGGCGGGGGGGCGGCGGCGGGGGTGGGGGGGCGGCCAGGGAGGAACAGCCAAAATGCCCCCTCGGCTTATGCGCGGGTCACCAATTT